TGTATTGTATAAGTTTTTCAAATAAAATTTTTCAATACATTTTTAGTTTTTCTTATGTTTTTATTGAGTTTGAGTCCAGTGTACCTTGAGCTCACTCAAATGGTGAACATTCCGGCTCCTGGCTAGCCATGCCCATTATAAGTGTATTTTGAGATATATGTGTACATATCTCAAAGTACACTTATAATGAAATCATATATATGCATTATATATATATAATATATTAGAAAATGCTTTAATTATGTTATAATATATTATTCATATATAATATATGTATAAAATATTCAACTGTACCTTGCACGCAGGCTTCAAATTTGCCGAACCGGGTGCATTACCAGGGCTTGAGTATCCATATAATCAGGTAGTATGTCTGCACTCACGGATTTTCAATAAAAATTTACTTTTATTCCAGATACTATTAAAACAGATCAACGTTTCAGTCCATCTTGTGGACTTTCATCAGGATCATTAATGCATTAAAAAACATATCATATATAAAGGATGCAATAATTGTAATATTAGTGAATTAACTCACCCCAGGTGCTGTTCGTGAGGAAACCAGCATTGTTCCCACTAGAGTGCGCATGCGCGGCATAGACCCCGCCTATTTACGTGACGTCACCACGTGACGCTACCGTCGTTGCCATGGTGATGCGATACAACAAAAGCGATCACCATGGTAACGTGTAGCTAACACCGTTCCCTCTGTATGTGATCGGCCATTTTACATAAGAATTAGTGTGAAAAAAAACATAGCGATTATCAGCATAAATATATCAAATCAGGATGAATATAGTGCAATTATAATGCTAGTCTTGTACAGCTATTGTTAAATATTAATATAGTGCTTTGTGCAAAAGCTGATATAGTACAATTGTGAGTCATGTGTTGAATAATGTCAAAATTTGAAGTTACCTATATAAAAAGGCAATTTTCTACTATTGCCTTATAAAGTGCCATATCCAAATACAGTGCATATTATTTATGTGCAAACATGCTAACGTGCAAAATATTAAAGTGACATATGTCTACATATAAAAGTGCTTAAAGTGCAAATAAACTATATAGAGATACAAGCATCCAATTGTTGAGAACAATAAATATATAAAAAATATATTGCTAAAGTGGAGAGCTAAAGCCTATATATGTACATATATTCATATATACATACGCCCATATATATATGCTTATATTATTTACTGAGGACCAAAAAACTATCTCTATTTGCGCGTCTGTAATTACAGGTACTAATTTATGGCATATTATACATAAATAACTTATTTAATAGCCCTCCTAATTAAAGCTACCATTTATGCAATATTCTATTAGCAGAATACTAAACAATAACTAAGCAATAACTAAATATAATTACAATATAAAAAATATTTTTATATTGTAATTATATTTAGTTATTGTTTTTTATATTGTAATTATATTTAGTTATTGTTTAGTTATTGCAAACCTTCTATTCGGCCACCACTAACCAATGCTCACAAGCTGAAATGGATTGGGCAGAAAAATACATGAAGACTAATTTTCAAATAGTCCTGTTCACTGATGAGTGCCATGCAACACTGGATGGTCCAGATGGATGGAGTATTAGATGGTTGGTGGACGGCCACCCTGTTCCAACAAGGCTGCGACGTCAGCAAGCCGGTGGTGGAGTCATGTTTTGGGCCATAATCATGGGAAGAGAGCTGGTCGGCCTCTTAAGGGTCCCCCAAGGTGTAAAGATGACCTCTGCAAAGCATGTGGAGTTTCTGACTTACCACTTTCTTCCCTGGTACAGAAGGAAGAACTATCCTTTCAATAATAAAATCATCTTCATGCATGACAATGCACCATCTCATGCTGCAAAGAATACCTCTGCATCAATGGCTGCTATGGGAATAAAAGGAGAGAAAGTCACAGTGTGGCCTCCATCCTCCCCTGACATCAATCCTATTGAGAACCTTTGGAGCATCCTCAAGCAAAAGATCTATGAGGGTGGGAGGCAGTTTACATCCAAACAGCAGCTCTGGGAGGCTATTCTGACATCTTGCAAACAAATTCAAGCAGAAACTGTCCAAAAACTCACAAGTTCAATGGATGCAAGACTTGTGAAGCTGCTATCAAATAAGGGGTCCTATGTTAAAATGTAACGTGACCTGTTAAAATGTTTAAAAAGTTAAAATGTTGTTATAAGTTTGATTAGAATAGCTTTTGATTTCAGTAAATATGCTGCAAACACAACAAATGACAATTTTCAGTTCTCTACAACCTTTAAAGTGTTACTGTGCATAATAATTTGGAACAGTGCATTGTAAGTTTTTTATGTTTTAAAAAAATACTGTTATCATTAGGAGGTTTGTTCAATAAAATTTGAATTGTACTCTTAATAGTTGATAACATGAGAATTATGCTGACTGTTATTTACATCAATTATTTAGGTAAATGTGAAAAATACCATGTGCATAATAATCTGGAACAGGGTGTAATAAATATAAAAAACAAAAAACTTTTAATAATGGAGTATATGTGTTTATGTGCATGTAAAAGTAAATCTGTTTAGTTTGGAAAAAAAGCACCTGAGAGGGGATATGATAACATTATAAAACTACATTCAGGGCCAGTACAAACCTTTATCTGGAAATCTATTCATAAACAGGGCTATACATAGGACACGAGGTCACACATTTAGGCTGGAAGAAAGGAGATTTCATCTAAGGCAAAGGTTTTTTTACAGTAAGAGCAATTAGGATATGGAATTCTCTGCCTGAAGAGGTGGTTTTGTCAGAGTCTATACAGATGTTTAAATTGCAGTTGGATAAATACTTGCAAAACATAACATACAGGGATATAATTTCTAATTACTGGGGTAATAGCTGCTTGATCCAAGGAGACATCTGACTGCTATTTTAGGGTCAAGAAGGAATTTTTTCCTAGTTTGTTGCAAAATTGGTAGCGCTTCAGACTAGGTTTTTTGCCTTCTTTTGGATCAACAGCCAAAACATATGTGAGGAAGGCTGAACCTGATGGACGCAAGCCTCTTTTCAGCTATGTAACTATGTAACTTAGATCATATATATATGATCTACGTACTTTTTATGTACTTAGTAAACTTTTATTTAACTTTTAATAACTTTTTTTGCAGGCTTTAAGGGGATAGCCTGAGAACTCAGACAGGCCCCCTGAAGGCACTGCACAAGCCGGCTATTTCGGCCATGTGATCGCGAGGACCCCGTGACCACATGGCCCGGCAGGGCCGGATCGGACAGTGGGTGTCTGCCTGAGCTCCCATGCAGACCCCAGGATTGCGATCGCCGGTGGGGGATAGCCAGCGATCAGGTAAGTCCCGATCTACTAAATGACGTACCAGATACGTCCGCGGTCTTTAACAACCTTTTTTTGCGGACGTACCTGGTACGTCATCAGTCACTAAGGGGTTAAACATCTTTACAGACTCTTATAAAACCACCTCTTCAGGCAGGGAACTCCACATCCTTATTGTTATTAATGTAAAAAAAAAAACTTTCCTTTGCCTTAGACGAAATCTTCTTTCTTCCAGTCTAAACGCATGACCTCGTATTCTTTGTAAGTCTGGTTTGTGAATAGATTTCCACACAATGGTTTGTATTGGCCCCGAATATATTTGTTATCATATCCCCTCTCAGGTGACGTTTTTCTAAACTAAATAGGTTTAAATTTGTTAACCTTTCTTCATAACTGAAGTATTTCATGCCCCTTTTTATACATGACAATACCTTACTGGCCTTAGCAATTGCTGATTGACATTGCACATTGATGCCAAGTTTCCATTCTATAACAATTTTCAAATCCTTCTTGTGTGTTGTTATCCCTAATTCACTACCTTTTTAGGGTGTAATCTGCTTGTGCCATTTATCTACATTTGATTTTTGTAATCTTTCCCAATCTTTCTAAATCCTTCTACAACAAAGTAATATCCTGCTCACATTGTATTACTTTACAGAGTTTTGTATCATCTGCAAATGCTGAAACATGACTTTCAATGCCTATTTAAAGATAATTTAGGGTGAAAGACACCACTTACCATTTTTGGCCAGCTTAAAAATTTATGATTCATGACAACTCTCTGTACTTTATCTGTAGGTTCTAGTAAAGAACAAGAATTGCCATCTAGACCAGTGGTTCCCAAGCCAGTCCTTATGGTCCACCAACAATACAGGATTTATGTATATTAATTTGTTATTCCTTTTAAGATACTGACAAAACCTGGACTGTTGGTGGGCTGGTTTGGAAACCACTGATCTAGATCAATTTTTATTTAGTATATTCACTAACTTATTGTGTGGAACTGTATCAAACACATTGGCAAAATCCAAATAGATAACATCCACTGCAACACCCTGATATATACTTTTTTTTTAAAATTCTTTATTTATAGAGTGCAAGAAATAACATAGTGTTCAGTAAGCCACAACAGCCTCTGTACACAGAGTGATAACAAGTCATATAAAACAGAGTTATGGCATTCGTATATATAGCACATTTTTCAGATTTTATAGTATGCTTAAATTACAAGCTAACTAGTAGATGGCTGGAGCAACTGTTAAGGGAAAGTGGCTGAGCTTTGCGTATACATAGGCATGTTGCTAGTCATTTTAAAGTAATACAGTAAGTAAAGCATGAGGGAATGCATATAGCTAACAGCTAATAAAGACATGCTGTTGTTGTGCCACTAGGTCCCGGTCGCAGGCTTCTTAGTTGGAAGTAGCTCCGTTTTGCCCAAAGAACATAATAATAAAACACAAGCAAAGACATAAGAAAAAGGACATAAGAACAAAAACAAAATGCCCCTGATTGAGAATAAGTTGGGGCGCATATATGGCCTGAGTCCTTTTGGCTGACAGGTAGCAGTGTGCTGTTCGTTCAGCCTATGCCTGATAACTAATGTCCAGACTGCCAGGAAGAGTGTGAGCTCCCTTTCGCCGTCTTATATATCTGCCGTCGGTGTTGTGTCTCGTATATGCGTGCGCTGTTTAGCTGTGGTGTACCTGGTCCGGGCTGTAATCTGGAGCCGTCGTTGGCTGGGTGGCTTGTCTTTCTGCCTTGTAGATCTGTCCGGATGGTGTTGGCGGTGCGGTGGGCGATTGATGTCTGCAGGCTTTCATTCCGGTTGTGGAGCTTTGTTTGTTGTGGGCCGCGATGACCCTGTCGGGTGGAGGGGGGTCAGCACGAGCAGTATTTGGCGCCTTTGCTTGATTATTGTGTGTTGTCTTGGGGCGGTCCAGGTCCCTCCGTCGCTTCCACCAACGGGCCACAGTGCCCTGCACCCGCTCTTTCAGTGGCAAGGCTTTGCTTGGATGCTTTGCATGCTTGCGAGGGGGTGAGTGGCGGTGTGCTGCCGTTGTGGCTGGTGTCTGTACCGGGTGCGAGCTTCTCTCCCGCATCCGTTCCCAGAATCTCTGGCAAACAGCATCGAAGTTCGCATTGAAGGCTGCTGCCCATTCTTCATTAGTCTGCTGCATCGGTTTAGCGGCTGCACCGTCGGCCATCTTAGCTGGGCCTTGTGGGGTCGCCTGAATGACGTTGTGTCATGATGTGTCCCAGAGGTGGGTGCTCTTAGGGTGCTGGTGGACCGGGATGACCCCCACCGGTCCAGAGGGGGAGGGACAGGTGCCCTTCTTTACTAGGGGCTTCTTTCATGGCGCGGGGAGAGCGGCCTTCTCTCCTGCTCCCGCCTTTCGAGTAGGCCTCAGTTACTTGTTCTGCAAATATTGCTCGGTTCGTCGCTTGGTGGGTATCTTTGTGCTTAGATATTTGTCCGCTTTCAATTGCTGGCTTTGTTGGGCCGATTGGTCGCCATTTGGGTCGTGTAAGTGGCTTTTCATGTGGGCTATAGCAGGAGCCCTTGAAGATGTCGACCGCTCGGCTCTGCAGTCAGGCCCCACCCCCCCAATGTATACTTTTACTTACTTCTTCAAATAATGCAATTAAGTTTGTTTGACATGACCTATGTTTCATAAAACCATGCAGATTTTTTCTCATAACAATGTTCTTTCCAATGGATTCCAAAATATTATCCCTTAATAACCCTTCAAATACTTTGCCAGCCACTGAAGTAAAGATCACAGGTCTATAATTTTAAGGCAAGGATTTTGAACCCTTTTTGAATATAGGGACCATATGTGCCTTCCTGAAATTCCTGAAAGAAAAGAAACTTGAACAACTAAAAACAGAGGTTCACTTATTTCCACACATAGTTCCTTAAGTACATATGGGCAGGCCCGGACTGGCCATTGGGCAAACCGGGCAAATGCCCAGTGAGCTGCAATGGTCATGGATCGACGCAGACACGGGAGATCAGAGGATCTTCTCTGCCTGCCACCGCAGGGCCAGTGCTACCTATGTGCCGGCCCTTCTGTGTGCCTTCATGGACCGGTAGCGAGATCAAACATCTTCCTCACAGGACCACAGGCATTGAAATGGGCAGACAGCAGGTAAGGGAGAGGAGAGAGAGTGGACCCGGGGAGTACTAGCCTGGAGCTTTGCCGGGTTCCTCTCGCGAGGTCAGAACGCTGCTGTGGTTACTATGGCAACACTTTGATCTCGCGAGACTGAACTCTAGCCAGAGGAGCTAGAGTTCACTTCCTACTAAGATCACCAGGGCTTCACAACCGGACCACCAGGGCTTGCTGGCAATGTCCCCCTCCGTGGGCAAAGATAAGATGGGGGATATAAATTTAATAAAAATAAATGAATACAGATATATGTTTTCTTTAATCTGACTGCACTGCACCCTCCCACACACACACACTGCACCCCCTACAGACACTGCATTTGCCCACACATGGCACCTTCTAACACATTGCTCTCCCACACACACACTGCAACACCATACAAACACTCTGCACACCCCTCACACACACACTGCACCATGTCACACACACAATGCACCCCAAAGACACACACACAATGCAGGCCCCAACACACACTGTACCCTCCCACACACATACTGCACCCCAAACACACACTTTACCCATCACACACACACACTGCACCCCTCACACACACTGCAACCCCTCACACTTTGCTACCCTTTTTATTAGAAGACACAGAGGCTCATTGTAGGCTTATTTAATGCTATGCAATGACAGATGCAAAATGATGAGATGGATGGGCATAGAACTCACGGAAGGGGAATTCATGTGATCAGTTGCGCCTTCAGAACATCCTTTAACCAACAGTCCTGATCTGTGATGTGAACTGTGAGATAGGTTCCTTTCAGATTGAGCCTGTCCATCCAGTCCACTATCATATGTAAATCAAAAAATACAGTGAATAATATCCATCTTGAAATGTTTGTAGGCATTTAGAACCATTTAGAGGACAGAGATTTATCACCGGTTGTATACCACTTCCCTTCTTAGGAACCAAGAGGCCAGGTGTAAAAACAGGAATCCTTATGATAGCCCCTTTCTCCTCCAAAGCTGGCATCCTCCAAAGTAAACCTCAGTTTCCCCAGAAGTAATCTCTGGATGAGCGGCTTGCCAGATGGCCTGCTCCGCCAAAAAGCTTAGGTGCAAATACCTTTTTTATGTTAACCTGTGCATTATCCAAGATTGTGAAAGTGCTTTCTCCAAAAAGGAGCACAATTGTCTATAGTCCAGGCTCAGTAATTGCACAGTTTACCAACTGGGTTCTATTTTTAGCAAGATAGCCAGATCTGTTTTATCATTACCAGTCATGCAAATGGAACCAGCCACATACAGTGTACGGTTCAATAGTGAAGTAATCTGGTGAGGCTGCTTCTGCTATCTTTAAAAAATTTTGTGATTGGACCACGGATGTATAGGATTTTATCTTGGCAATTGCACAGTGAAAAAGTAATGAGTTACTTAGATGAGGGAGCAGCAGCGTTGAAAGAGGAGTGACTTAGGGCCACATGGGTGTATGTGGCCTGTGAGATGCAGTGACTAGATATTGTGGTGTCTATAGTTAACTCTTTCTGTGTTTTTTTTTTCTCTTTTTCTGAAGGAATAAAAGAAATAGATAAGCCTAATATGATTCTCTGTATTGTTAATAAAATGGAATATTTACATGAGAAAATTCAATGCTATATTTTGGGGGTTTTCTGAGTGTTTCCAGGATAAAAGATAGCCTATATAACAAAATGGGGGAACTAGAGGCAATAGCATACACTAAACCAGTGTTTCCCAACCCAGTCCTCAAGGCACACCTACCAGTCCAGGATTTAGGGATTACCCAGTTGTGTCTAAGGTGTTTTTTTTCTTCTTTGTAAAAACACCTTAGACACAACTGGGTAATCCCTAAATCCTGGACTGGTAGGTGTGCCTTGAGGACTGGGTTGGGAAACACTGCTCTAAACAATATGATATAATAGGCATAATAGAAACATGGTGGGATGAGACATGTGACTGGGCAGTTAATTTAAATGGGTATACGTTATTTAGGAAGGATAGGAAAAACAAGAAGGGTGGTGGGGTATGTTTGTATGTCAACCATGAGTTAAAGTCAAATCTTAGGCATGTGGAGTGTGACGAGGAAAAGGTGGAGGCTTTATGGGTAGATATCTGCTTGGGGCAAACAAAGGGAAATCAATTATTGGTTGGGATATGTTATAAACCACCTAATGTAAATATTATTGAGGAAGAACAGCTGTTAGAGCAAATTGAGAAAGCTGCAAATCGAGGTAACACGTTAATTATTGGAGATTTTAATTATCCAGACATAAATTGGGAAAGAGGGATTAGTACTTCAGCAAGGGGCATCAGGTTTTTGAATGTGTTAAATGACACCTTTATGTCACAACTGGCACAAGCACCAACTAGAAAGGATGCTTGTCTGGATCTCGTTATAACAAACAATGTTGATCTTTTAACCAACATTCAAGTAGGGGAGCATTTGGGAAATAGTGATCACAATATGGTAAATTTTGAAATAGACTCAAAAAAGCAAAAGCAAGTGGGGTATACTAAAACATATAATTTTTAAAAAGCCAATTTCAATAAGATTAGGGCAGCTCTACAACATATCGACTGGCATAAACTCCTTAGTGATAAAAACACTGAGGATAAATGGAAACTATTCAAACAAATATTAGAAAGGTACATTTCGCAGTATGTACCATTGGGTAATAAATATAAAAGAAACAAATTAAAACCAATTTGGCTTAGTAGAGAAGTAAAACAAGAGATTAAAAATAAGAAAAGGGCTTTTAAAGCATTTAAATCAAACAAATCAAAGGCATCCTATTTAAGATATAAGGAAGCCAATAACTCTTGCAAAAAGGCAATTAAAGTTGCTAAACTAGAAAATGAGAAATTGATAGCTAAAGAATGCAAAGCCATCCCCCAAAATGTTTTCAAGTACATCAATTCTAAAAAAACAAAAAATGAAAGTGTAGGTACACTTGAAACAGAGTTGGGTTTATTAGCTAATGAAGACCAGGAAAAAGCAGAAATTTTAAATAACTATTTTTCTTCAGTATATATTAATGAGGATCCTATGGCAAGAGATATGCAAATGATTGCTGCAAAAAACTTGCAGATAACTTGTGATTGGATAACTCGAGACAAGGTGCTACAGCTATTAAAGAAAATTAATGTAAATAAAGCTCCGGGGCCTGACGGTATTCACCCACGAGTACTTAAGGAGCTAAGTGGGGAAATAAGTGAACCTCTGTATTTAATTTTTCAAGATTCTTTTGTTTCAGGTGTTGTACCGGAGGATTGGAGGAAGGCAGATGTTGTTCTTATATTTAAAAAGGGTTCAAAATCCTTGCCTGGAAACCTGTGAGCTTAACTTCTGTAACTGGGAAAATATTTGAAGGGCTATTAAGGGATAATATTCAGGAATTCATTGGGAAGAACTTTGTTATTAGCAATAATCAGCAGGGTTTTATGAAACATAGGTCATGTCAAACTAACCTAATTGCATTCTACGAAGAAGTACTTAGAAGTATAGATCAGGGTGTTGCAGTGGATGTGATCTACTTGGATTTTGCCAAGGCATTTGATACAGTTCCTCACAATAGGTTAGTCTTCAAACTAAAAGACATTGGTCTAGATGAATATTCTTGTTCTTGGGTAGAACATTGGCTTAAGGATAGAGTACAATGAGTTGTAATTAATAGTATATTTTCAGGCTGGACTGTAACGAGAATATACCCCAACACGCAGGATTCAGCTAAACAGAAGACAACACAGAGGAGAGATACGTCTACCGGACCTTAGAATGGCCGGACTCGACGTATAAGAGAGGAGACAGAGTCAGGAACGATCCGAAATCAAGGGCACAGAGAGACAGCGTAAACTAGGACAAGCCGGGGTCTGGTACACAGTAAACAGCAAGCCGACAACCAGAACAGGTAAGGATTAAGAGAAAACGTAGTCAGAAACAAAGCCAAAGTCAATACGGAGAAACACAACTGAACACAACAAGCGCTAAAGGGAACTGATACAGAAACCACGATAGGGCAGGGAGTAAAGGGAGAGGTAAGTTTAAATAGCTTCAAAACTAATGTGATTGGCTC